TCGCTCTCCTCAGGGCATGATGTACGCCCTACTTAAACAAGGTGACCCCATTTGAAATAATGTTTGGGAGACACCCCCACCACTCTGCCCTCTGCGATAAGAGATTGCCCTAGCAGAGATGACTGATCAGTCTGTACTCCAGTCACTGCAGGCATTACAGTCTGTCTTAAAAAGAACCCACGCAGGGATCCAAACTGCCCATGCAGAGACGGAGACAGAGGTGGAGCCACATCCTTACCAACATGGGGACTTGGTTTGGATACGCCGCCACCAAGTGGGAAACTTAGAGCTTTGCTGGAAGGGAACATTTACTGTCATCCTGACCACCCCCACGGCAATAAAAGTAGACGGTGTCAGGGCCTGGACTCATGTGAGTCATGTCAAACGAGCCGAGGAAGAGGACGCCCCCCCAGAGACGGATGCCACTGCCAGTGGACCCCACCGATCGTGGACTGAGCTAAGACTCAAAAAAAACAATGAGTTCATTGAGTTCATTGTTGCTCCTATCGTTAAGGTATAGGTGGGAAATAGAAAAAGGCTTGACATACTATTTCTAGAATAAGGGGGGGGCGGGGGGGGCTCTGCATAGCCCTAAGAGAGAAATTCTGTTTCAGAACTGGCTGAAAAGTCAAAGATTTGACTAATCTCCAAAGAAAAGGGGGGAAGGTAAGGGCCTCTTCAGCCAGAGTGGCCCCACCCTGGTTGAACTGCCATTTTGTTGTAGAACTTAAATTGACTCTTCCCCCTCCTCCCCTCAAGGGGAACTTACTTAAAAAAAAAAAGTCCCGGAAACCAGTCCCAGGTAACAAAGTCCAAATACAAGGGTGGGTCAGGCCAGGTGGAGTTATTCAATCAGTGGGGGAGCATACTGTCTCCTAGCTACCAAAGTATGGGCCCCGCCCTTTGAGCACCTTTTGGGCACCAATTCTAACCAAGGTGATAGGCTGGTTCAAATGTCTACTAGGGTAAATTGTAATTTAATTGGTCACCTAGCATGACTGTGCAGCTTTCTCTGTGTGTTACAATTTCATTGGCCACCTGTGTGTGGCCAGGCCCAACCATGTGGCCTTTGTTCTATAAAAGCTAGTCTGTGAAACAGAGAGGGGTCACCCTCTCTTGTAAGAGGTGTGTCCCTGAACGTTCGGTTTGATTCTTGATGCTTGGCATGAAATAAAGCTTTGCTTGACCTTTGCTTTGTATCAGTCTCGCTCCTTTAATCACAGCCCCATTACTGGGGGACCCAACACTTTGACTTCAAGAGATCTTTCTTCTTGATCTTGTTGGAATAGCATAATAAATACTCACTTTAAATCCAGCAGAAACTCAAATCAGGGAAGTTTCCCAGTTCATGCAGAACCATGCTCCCTGGAAGGTCAATTTTTTTTTTTTTTTTAATACAACAGTCCTCAGATTGCATATATCAGAATTTCTTTCCTACTTTGTTAATGACATGGTGGGTGTATTGTCACTTCCTCAAATACTTTTAGGCCATTCTGTGGCTTTAACAATAGAGGGATGGATAGATGGACAGACAGGCAAATGAATGCATGGAAGGAAGAAAGAAGAGAATGGGCTAGCATATGCTGAGAAATAAAGCTGGAAGGAGAGTTTGGGTCTAGATACAAAAAAATTTGAATGCTTGAGTTTATAGCTTATCTATTAGCAAAAAAACAACAAAAAAACCCTACAGAGGCTTTTCAGCAAGTAAGTAATCTTATAAAAATCCTATACATTTAATCTGGACGTTTGTCCACAAGAAAAATTTGGAGACAGAGGTTCATCGGCATTGTGGATTGTGTTCCAGCCTCAAGCTGTCCAGGCTCTGAAACCCACTTTTGCATTTAATCTCTAACTGAGCTTGGGCAAGCTACTTAATGTAAGTGTGTATAAAACAGAAATATCATCAGAAGTTATGAGGAGACCTGGATGGACTAATGTACATAAAACTCTTTGTACATACGTTGCACACAGTAAGAATGCAGTAAATGGGAACTATCTAAGAAAAGGGATGCAAGGCAGGCTGCTGGGCCTGCCCTCTCACTGTGAACCATAGTGTGAACCACAGTTCACTGAGCTTCAGAGCAAGGAGGAATTTTAGAGGCTTTGCAGATAAGGATTAGAGATACCTTAAATCAACTAGGCTTATATTTTAGAAAATGGAAAAAAGAATGAGAAGAGAAAAATCACTACTTATTCTGCTAAGCAAGGATATACATTATCAATATCTTGTGAATTACTTTCCAAACTTTGTGCTGTTCATATTTTCCCTATGTAGCAAGATTAAGTGGCAATCACACGGGGTGCCTGGGTGGCTCAGTGGGTTAAGCCTCTGCCTTTGGCTTAGGTCCTGATCTCAGGGTCCTGGGATTGAGCCCCACATCAGGCTCTCTGCTCAGCAGGGAGCCTGCTTCCCTCCCCCCACCCCCACCCCCACCCCCACCTGCTGCTCTGCCTACTTGTGATCTCTGCCTGGCAAATAATAAATAAGGTCTTTTTTTAAAAAACAGCAATCACACCAGCTCATATCTTGATAACCATTATAGATTCTCTTTACAAATACCATTTATTTGCTATATAATATTCCATTTGGACGACTGAGCCCTTCCCTTTTTTTTTTTTTTAAGGTTTATTTTTTTATTTATTTGAGAGAGAGAGAGAGAGAGAGAGAGAAAGAGCAGGGGGAGGAACAGAGGGAGAGGAAGAGAGAATCCACAAGCAGACTCCTTGCTGAGCAGGAAGCCGAACATGGGGCTTGATTCCAGGACCCTGACATCATGACCTGAGCAGAAATCAAGAGTCAGACACTTAACCTACTGAGCCACCCAGGCACCCCAAGCCTTTCCCTTTAAGATTAGACATTTTCATTTTAAATTTGGGGAATATAAATAACTTCCCAAATAACTTTGTAAATAATTATTTTCATATGCATGGAGGGTTTTCCTGAAGACAAGTTTTCCAGGGAAAAAATTACAAGGAAATTAATCTGGTTTTTACTAAGTCATGTTTTTTAATTACTTTCCAAAATAGCTTACAAAGTTATTCTCCCACTAGTGTATGTTTATTTCACTACATCTTGCTTGAATTCTCTGTTCTTTAATATTGCTATTAAATTATTCCTACAACTCCCTAATGTTTTTTTTAAGTTATTTCTATACATTTTTAAGAATACCAGTGGGTTTAAACATTTTCCATGTGTTTTGAACCATGTTATTTTTTTCCTGTGCAAGTGTCCTCATCACATCTTCTGTATATTTACCTATTTCGATATTAATGTTTTCCTTTTTAAGCATATAGAAATTATGCAGAAGAATTATTAATCTTTTGTGAGATCAACAGCAAGTTAACAGTAAACTGGTTTGAATGTAATTTTGGTCATTTTTTACATATAATAAATTTGTTTTTAATATTTATGTAATCAATTATTCTATTTTTCCCATGATTTTGTTCACTGTTCTTAAGTTTAGAAAATTCTTCTTCAGTTTGTTGACTAACACGCATTTTTATTTTTTACTAACAACTTTTGATTTAATTACTTTAATCTCTCTGGAATTTATTTCATCATGTGAGGTACTTCATTTATTTGTCCAACCAATATTTATGGATTGCTTATTGATTTTGCAACACTTTCGTTTTCAAATAGTCAACTTTGTGCTTTTCAAATTAGAGTACTCTTGCCTCAAGATAAAACATGTAATAAATATCATGCATCAGCTAGGAGCACTTTTATTACTGAAAAATTGAAGAATAGGTAAATTATTTACAAGATTATGTCGCGTTAAAATTAATATGGATATATAATGCAGTAAAATAAAGATGATAACTCAAAAATTTTAAAGTAAACATGAGATTATTTGTACTTTTGCCAGACTACTTTGGGCGACTCTGCCCACACATCCAGATTTCAAGAAGGAAAAGGTCATGTTTGGTGGCCCTCCCCTGTAGGGATGCTTCAGGAGAAAGTATGAGAACCTCTTATCTGAACAATTGATTCAACAAAATTTGAGGATAATCCTGTTCTTCCCCATAATTTAGAATTCCTCTTTTGTTTTATTCAAAGTCTTTCATATTCAAGTCCATTCCTTGTTTTTTCCACTGTCTTTATACTAGTTATTACTATCATTCATATTGGTACTATAATTATTGGCTACCACATATAACAAGCTATCTATTTAAAGGGTAACATTTGAATTAAGAAAAGTATTTAATCATTCCCACAAATATAAGGGAATGATTAAAGAAGAAATAAAATGATGACATAAAATCATTAAAAGTTCAATTTCTTAAGATTTGATAAATGTGAATGCTCAGATTATGATATAATGTTAAGTGGAAGTAAGTTCAAATACCAGTCCGTGTGCTTCTAATCTTTAACAAGAGTTTAATAAAGAAGGTATACCAGATGTTAGCCATGATTTATCTGGATAATTGCATTCTGTTTGAACTTCCTATTTTATATATATTTTTCGTTTTCCTCCTATAACATGAAGTTAATATTTCTATAATCAGAAAAAATTAATGAATGCTATTATTAAAAGGTAAAAAATCAGGGCACCTGGGTGGTTCAGTGGGTTTAAGCCTCTGTCTTCAGCTCAGATCATGATCCCAGGGTCCTGGGATCGAGCCCCGCATTGGTCTCCTGGGATCGAGCCCCACGTGGGTCTCTCTGCTTCGCAGGGAGCCTGCTTCCCCGTCTCTCTCTGCCTGCCTCTCTGCCTACTTGTGATCTCTCTCTCTCTCTGTGTCAAATAAATAAATAAAATCTTTTTTAAAAAATAAAAGGTAAAAAATCTTTCCATCAAGAAGAGTACTCCCTGACTTTGACACCAGGATGTCCTTTGGAAAGTGGAACTCTGAACAGTACCCAAAACATCAAACTTAAAGCCCAGATACTTAACTAAGAAATCACTAACTCCCTTAAGTGTTCATTCCAAATGTTCTTACACTTATTGGGTCATTCTGAAACTGACATTCTTTAAGATCATTTAGAATGTTTATATATATATATTTTTAAAATAATGTTTATTTAAGATGGAATATGGCAAAATCTCTGACTTGAAAGCTGGTGACAAAGGGAAAAAGAGTGGGGCTTCCACCCCAGTCTTAGGTTTGGGGGCAGGCTGCAGGTGCCTGGGGACCACTGTGCTCTTGTTGCACAGAAGTAGGTGGCTGAGTCCCCAGGATGGGTGGCTGTGTCTTGCAGGGAAAGATGTTTGTCCTTCTTATTAAATAGGACGGTGAGTCTTTGTTCTTGTTTCTTGACCACATTTGAAAGAGTATATATAAGCAACTGGAGGCCTTTTCCAGGTTCTTGCTTGTACCAAAAGAAGTAGTCGGGGGCACCGTCTGTGTAAGTGCAGTTGATAACAAAGCTGTCTCCCTCCCGGACAGTCAAGAAAGAAGGGTGCTGCTGTATCTCTTCTCCTCTACTCAACCCTGTGGGGAAAACAAAAAAAAAAAGTCAGACAAAATCATTAGGTCATCATTCTCCAGAGTTTTTGTTTCTTCTTTGGTGCAGCAACTTCAGGAAGTCTGGAAAAAGCTAATCTCCTTTTCAGACTTCTAATACTAAGACACCCTTTACCCAAAAGTTTTCCACTCACACTCCAGTTGCAGCCACAAGAACAGGAACATTCCAGTAAGTGTCTTCATTGTTCCTCCAACTGAGATCTGCAATCTCCAGCCAGGAAAGTTACTTTTATTACCAGGTTATCTCTTTCCTTCCTCAAATGCACAGTGGTTTCTTAAACTGTCTACACAGGGATCTGCTTCTGTCTTTAACTTACTCTCACAACCAAGAGGACCCTTTCACATAATCTGCATCAGCAGAGATGCTTCGCCATCTTGTGGTCGGGTCCCCAACTGCAAAACCAGCTGGACCAATCCTCTTTTCTCCTGTATCTGTGGGAGATGAACACACAAAACAGCAATAGATTAAATAAATTAAGTTCTTGTCACCTTTGCGGTGGGGATCCTGGTGATGGGAGCTGAAGTGATGGGGGGGACCACCAACTGATGATCAGTAGACATCTTTATTTCTTACAATCACTTCTTTTATAACTTCCACAAGATCCAATTACAAACAGGATATAGATTTATGTGCAGGATGTGGGCTACATGTGAGATGTGATTTGCGTGCAGGCAATCAAGTGAGACAAGTGAACAACCATTATCTTGTAGCTTTCAGTGATAATATCTCTTAGCTTTAAATGACAAGAGCAAGTTAAGGATTCTCCAAACTTATCAGATCCATCTAAAGGAGGACAAGAAAACACTCCAGGGATCCTCCCATGTTTAATCCAGCCTTGACCCAGGAAGACTCTTGCCCTCCATTTCGTGGAGTTTTCTCACAGGATTCGACATGACCCCAGTCACATTGGTGAGGATCTGTGTTGTGTTACAACAGTTCTGAGTGTGTCTCCAATCAGAAGTTATGTGGATTAGCAGAAAGCAAGCATAGTAAGAAGGTAGGGTTCAGAATTCCATCACATCTTCTCAACACAGTATTGAGTCACTTTAAATAAATTTGAAGAAGTTACATGTTTCCCACATTTTTTCAACAGGCTTAGTCTACTTGAAATCAGGAAAATGTCAATGGATAAATGCATAAAGAAGATGTAGTATATAGGGGCACCTGGGTGGCTCAGTCAGTTAATCATCTGACTCTTAATTTTGGCTCAGGTCATGATGTCAGAGCTGTGGGATCAAGCCCCCACTAGAGCTCTGTGCTCACCATGGAGTCTGCTTGTCCCTTTCCCTCTGGTCCTCTCCCCCAACTCTCTCTCTTAAACTTACACAGTGTTACATGTCAATTATATTTCAATTTAAAAAAAACCTGATGAAAAATAAATACATAATTTTTATTAATTTTTTTAGTGTAGTTGACACACAGTGTTAACATTAGTTTCTGGTGTACAACATAGTGATTTGACTAGTTTAAACATTATGCTCTGCTCTGCACAAGCGTAGCTCCCATCTGGCACCATACAGTGCTACTAGAGTACCACTGTCTATATTCCCTATGCTGTGCCTTTTATTCCCATGACTTATTCATTCCATAACTGGAAGCCTGTATCTCCTGCTCCCCTTCCCCCGTGTTGCCCCTCCTCCACCCTCTCCCCTCAGGCAACCACTAGTAAATACATCTTGAATGCAGTCACAAATTTCAATATTCATCACCATAACCTTAATCCAGGCTATTATCTGCCCTCACCTGAACTGTTGCAATAGTCTTCCAACTGGTCTCCTTCCTAGTTCTGCCCTCTACAACCCACTCACTACATAGCAGCAAGACAGTACTAGAACATAAACTAGATCATGTCAATGTGGAGCTCTTATTTAGTCAATGACTCTGATATTATACTTAGAATAAAACCTATACTCCTTTCAAAGATCCACAAGATCTGGCCCCAGACTACTTCTCCTATCTTATACTTCTGATACTATCTTATACTTCTGATCCTCAATCCCCTGAATTTGCTAGCTTTGCCCAATTGTTTTTTATTCTTCAAGTCTCAGATCCAAAACCATATTTTTACCAAAACTTGTACATGAATGTTCATAGCAGCATTATTCATCATAGCCAAATGGTGGAAATAACCCAAATGTCCATCAAATGACAAATGGATAACACAACGTTATATATCTCTATAACAGAACATCATTCAGTCTTAAAAAGGAATGAAATACTGAGACATGCTACAACATGGATGAATCTGGAAAATAGGCTACAGCGAAGTAAGCCAGACACTAAAGGACAAATATTATGATTCATTCCACTGATAGAAGGTACCTAGAACAGGTTAATTACTTATATGACACAACTCTGAATATCTCAAACCTTGATTCTCTTCTTCTACCCACGTCCTTAAGTAGTGAGGGCCATAGGACATATCCAAGTTAGTTTTGTGCAGTTTCACATCCTAATACTAGGTGAGTGGACAAAAGTAGGTGGAAGGAACAGTCCTGAAAGCAATTCCACACTGGGAATGGTTAGCAGAAACTTAACTATATATAGAAATCACTATAAATCACGTTAAATATATCTCATTTAATGTAAACTAAATGTGTCCTCAACTCAATCTCACCTCTGCCAGATTCCCAAAAATGTTTGGAGCCACTCCAACACCACCTAAACAAGGGCAAGCCCAGCAGAGGTGTAGTTAGCATGGGAAAAGACTGGTTTTGACAAATTGTTCTTAAAATAGCTTACTTCCAAAATTTTCATATACAGAAAATGTGACTGTATTATAGGATTCCTCCCAGAACTTGGCCTCCATCAAGTTTGATTGGGTCTTGGAAGCTCTTCTGTCTTTGTGCCATAGTCTTGGCCCCCATGTCCCCCTATGAGCTGTTCCCCTGAACATGGACTATGACCCTTCTGAAACATAAATCAGACTAGAGCACCTACTTAAAACCCCTCAAATGCTTCCCATTTCATACAGAATAATATATGAATGTAAACATAATGGTATAAGGCCACATATGATAGGGCCCTTAACTACCTCTTTGACATATCACTACCACTCTCCCCTCACTACCTTCTAGGAACATCAGCCTTCTGTCACAAATATACCAAATTTGCTTCTGCCTCATGGCCATTGTTGCATTTGAAAACTTCCTTCTCCTAGGTTTTATCATCTTGCTTTTTGTCATTTTTGTCATTGAAGACAGTTCAAATGTCATCATTCCAGAGAGCTCAGATGTCATCACTGTGATTGTCTTTCATATTACTTTATTTTCTTAATGTCACTTAAATCTTGAAGTAAATTATGCAATTGTTTCCTTGTCCTATCCCTAGAATAAAAATTCCACACCTACAGGAAACTTATCTGTACTGTGGAATTAGATATCTTCAACCAGATACTGGTGCTTATCATATCACACTACAGAATAAATATTTGTTGAGTGAATGCACATCTGGATGATCTCCAAATGAAGTAATTTTGACTACTTCTCTCTTAGAAGAAAGCAGATCCCCAGTGGCTTGGAAGGGCCTGGTAGGCCCAGGGTTGAATCATGGGATGACCCTGGTCTCATTTATCTCCTGGCCTCTGCTGCCTGGGTCACTGAGACCTTCTGGGGGAGGCAGCGGGTGCTTCTGTAGAAATGAGGATAATAGGTGAGTCCTCACTTCATAAGGGACCTCAAACCAGCTTTTCCTTAGATGTCACTAGTGGAAAATTATCAAAATATGCTTCTTTATTCCTTGACTTTTATGAAAAGATTCTGCATATTTATCACTGTAAATAATGTAATTTGTAAGTTTCTGAGAAGGTAGTCAGAGTATAGGGATTGAGAACATGGGATCTGAAGTCAGATTGCTTCTCTTCCAAGAGTGGGCCTGTGGATTAGGAACTTGGCTTTTTAAAGTCAGTTACCTTTTTATTTCTTAAGCTTCTAACCCTTGTTGTAAAAAAATGGGGGTGGGGACAACACAACACCTGCATTATAAGGTGTCAAGGAGATGACATGATACTAAAGATGTTTGTACAATGCTCACCGCACATGCTGTTATCCAAACGTTAGCTACTTTGCTATTATATTTGTTATTCAGAACCTCCAGGAACTAAAAGTCACAGGCATAAGCAGGGCCAAATAAAACCAGGCTCTTTTTCACCCTTCTCCAAAGCAGAGCTATGTGTTCATATTAACAGGTGAGTTGTACCTGCCGCACACAACATGGGTGGGGTTCACACCATAGGAACCTATTTAGTGTCTGCTCATTGAAGCTCTAGATTCTGACAATGAGTTGGATGTTTCCACTGTTTCCTTAAACATGGATTTGAATCTTGCCATTGTTTTTAGAATCTCTAAGGGCTCCATGTTAGCAGTATAGGTTTATAATTATAGAGAGAAGGAAAAGACTGACCAAATGAATAAGGAAACTCAAGGCTACACACCGCTGCTGTACAAGACCTCCTGGGGGAAGGGCGGGGGCTACAGGAGCAGCTGCAGTTTGGGTCCAGGCTGCAGATCACAGGGGAGCACTGTGCCTCCACTGCACACAGGTAGGTGGCTGAGTCTTCCAGTTGAGAGGCCCCGATGTGGAGGGTGCTGGACCATTCCTTAGTATTCACTGTGCAGTTTAACCTCCTACTGTGCTGCATCCCTGAAGCTATGTAAAACAGCCAGGTGAGGCTGCCGCCCCTGGGGTGCTGTTGGAACCACTGCACACTGTTTGGACTGCTAGAAAAATTGCACTTCAGAGTAGAGCTGCCTCCCTCCTGGAGGCTCAGGGCTGAAGTGCTCTGCTCCACATTCATCCTTCTCACCCCTGCGTGGAAAGAGAAAAACAATGATATCACTGGGGAGTCACTGATGCAGTTTTTAAACCTGTGAAGTATCCCAAGAAACACCCCTGAGGATGTAGGACTCTAGGAGCTCAGTGTCACCTCCCCCCACCCCTTCCAGCTCTGGACCACTCCCCAGCCCCATCTAGAACATCCCTACTCACAGCAAACCTGAAGCCACAGGAGCCCCAGCAGTGCTCCCCAGTGTCTTCTCATGATTCCTTGTCGAGTTGCTTAGTTACCAACACCCCTTCTGTGCAGCGTATAGAGTCTTGGGTCTAGATAAGTTGTGTTCTTACAGTCAGTCCATTTCACCACAATCACAGAACACCAATCACGCTCACATTTGAGCTTTGTCAT